TACTAATTCTCTTTGTTATCCTATCAATCAACGCAGAGCAATCAGCAGAAGTAAGCTTACCTGATATGAGGGGAACACCCAGATAACGAACTGGCAGACTACCAAGAGGAAAGCCAGTGACACTTGATATCCATTGCTGTTCCTCAGCAGGGGTACCACAGCAAAACAGTTGACATTTGGAAGGATTACAGCGGAGGCCTGAATCTCTATAAAACTGATCTAACACTCTATTAATCCCTGCCACACCCCTTATCGACCCATTTGTAAACACTAGGAGATCATCTGCAAAACACAGATGAGTGATCTCAAGTGACTTACAACGTGGGTGATAAGGGACCTGATTATCAACCGCTGCCCTCTGAATTAAGCAAGAGAAATACTCCATCGCCACAGTGAACAAATATGGGGAAAGGGGATCCCCTTGTCTAAGGCCCTTTCCAGCAGAGAAATAGCCACATAGACCACCATTAAACGAAACACTGAGCTTAGGGGTAGTTATACAGGCTTCAATTAGTCGAACATAAGAGTCAGGGAACCCCATAGCAAGCAGCATGTTTAATAGAAAAGACCAGTTGACTGAATCAAAAGCTTTCATTAGGTCTATCTTCAAAACACATCTAGATGTGGTGTTCTTTTTATGGTAATCTTTCACCAATTCACTAGCCATCAAAATGTTGTCACTTATTAACCTTCCTTTGATAAAAGCAGATTGAGATTTGCCTATCACCAAAGGAAGAACAGCTGCTAGCCTATTTGAAAGAAGCTTTGATATGCCTTTATACAGCACATTACAGCATGAAATGGGTCTAAAGTCTTTCATTTTATCAGCATTGGTGACTTTGGGAATAAGAGAGAGGATGGTAGAATTCACCTGTGTTGGCATTACCCCTGTATGAAAGAAATCCAGAACAACCTCCTCCACCAGACAGCCAATTACTCCCCAGTCAGATTTGTAGAACTCTGCTGTGAAGCCATCTGGCCCAGGGGCCTTATCATTTGGCATTCTTTTAAACACCTCCCTGATCTCTTCTCTAGTGACTGGCTCTAACAGCACCTGTACCCCCTCTGAGCTTAGTCTCTGCCTTAATTGATTCTGGAAATAGACAACTGAATTACCCTGAACTGCTCTATCAACCTCCCCCAATAACTTCTTGTAAAACTCAACTGCCACCTCCCCCATTTGCTGTATCTCTGTAACTTCTGTATTATCATCTTTTACTAATTTCATGATCGTCTGCTTATGATTCCTCACCCTCACCATTGCATGGAAGTAGGCTGTATTGGCATCCCCCTCCTGAATACTTCTTATCCTTGACTTCTGCCTGAAGAAACCCTTTTCTGCAACCTGAATATCATGGCATAAGGCTGCCAACTCAGCCTCCTTCTTCACATTTTCTATAGTAGGATCCTGGAGAACTAGCTGCCGCTGATTTTCAAGGGCCTGCTCTGCTTCTCTAGCCCTCACAGATATGTCAGAGTACTCAGATCGATTCAATTTCTTCAACTTGTCTTTGAAACACTTCAACTTGTAGTAAAATTGCTGATATGGGAGACCTCTTGCATCTCCCCCCCATGCCTCACTTAATAAACTTCCATACTGTGGATGCTTCTGCCAGAATGTAAAATACTTAAAAGGCTTTGGGATTGAGCCGAGTTGTGGTGCCAATTCAATCACCAGACCACAATGATCTGATACTCCTGGTGCAATCGTTCTGGCTAAACTCTGAGGAAAAGAAGCCAACCATTCCATATTGACGAGGAATCTATCAAGCTTCTTTGCTATGGGATTTGCCTGCTGCTTGTTCCACCAGGTATAGTGCGAGCCAAATATCTTGTGATCAGTAAGATCCATGTCCCTGACCCATCCTCTGAAATCTAGACCCCCCTGATTCATTACCTCAGCATTCGAAGCTTCTGAAACATCCAAAATAGCATTAAAATCCCCCATGTAAACCCCAGGTTCCCCCACCACTTTATACTTCAATAACTCAGCATATAACTCCACCCTTTCACTTGCTTTGTTCGGGCTATATATTGCTGTGACAATACAATTAGAAGCCCCTTCAACTCTAACTTGAATAAAATGCTCCCCCATCTGAATTTTCGTAACTTTCAGACTTGACTTCCAGAATAACCAAACCCTACCTGAAGCTGAATATGCATAATTATTTAAATGTTTCCAACTACTAAACTGACGCTGAACAATATCCCTTGCATTCTTCTCCAAAACTCGAGTCTCTAATATAGCAGCAAAATCAATACCCAACTTTATTAACTGTCTATTTATATATCTATGTTTCTCAGAGGCATTAAAGCCCCTGAGGTTCCAGCTCAGCAACTTCATTTGTTCTTCCTACCCCTCCCCTTCTTAGGAGGACCTCGATCAACCATAGCATGCCCCTGAGCGTTTAATGGAACCCTAGACTGAACAGCAGAAACTGGAATCTTAAGTGCAGAGTCATACATAATCCCTTTCCCCTTCCTTGTAACCAGTTGGAACCCATCCTCATCGATCAACTTACCTGGCCCAGCATAAGAGCTTGAAGGTGTGACATCCTTCCTACCAGGCCCCAGCCCACTTTCAACGTCAGCAGTGGTCTGCTCAGAATCAATTGCCTGCCCTGCATCCCCCTCAACTGTACCAGCCAATTCAGAACCCAAACCCCCATTATTGGAGGTAACAACTTCATCCTGCTTTCCAAAATCAAGACTAGAACCTATCTCATTAGACCCTCCCCCCTTTCCTGATTCTTCCCCAGTAGTAACCAGAATCGAGGTCTTAGGATTTACAACCCAGGCCACTTCACTTGTCATTGCTTCTGCCCTCACAAAATCCCTACTAGCAGCAATCTGCACAACCTTACATTCCTTACCCTGACCCTCACAATGCCCAAACTCGCTGCACTGCTTGCACACAGATGGAACGCGAAGATACCGAACATCCAGAGACATTGGATCATCCCCCTCAGGCGCAACACTGATTGCAGCTGGAAATTCAAAATCAGCAGAAATCTCCACGCAAACCCGAGCTACACCTGCCTGCGCCCCACTCAGCGTAGCTTGATCCATCCAGAGTGGCCTTCCAATCAGACTGGCAATCCTGCTCAGCCCTTCCTCTGTACTATATTCAAGCGGCAACCCACTGATACGAACCCAGATCGGGAGAGAACTCAAACTCACCTTCACAGCTTGAATGCCTGGAACCCATCGTTGAAGGAAGAGGGGATTGTTGTCATAATGCCACGGACCATTCTCGAAAACCCAGGTACTAGTCTCCGGATCCGAAAATTGGAAGAGAAAGAGTTGCTCCCCGAAGTGAGAGACCGTAATCCGACTGTCACGTCCCCAGAATCGACGAGCCCAGCGCCTCAATAAGCCTATCTCCGGCGCCGACGAGAGAAATTGCCCTACCAGGGCATGCTTCCATCGAGCAGCTCCTTGGTCCCTCACAGCCCGCGGAATGACCAGCGACCCATTCACCACCTCCGGCGCAACATATTTCAGCCGATTAGGCTCCCCCATAACATTAAAGTATAAATTTATTTGTATCATACAAGATGTTGTATCACTCAACTGTAGTAGAAGATTCGATCATTTTATATTTGCTCATTACGTGAAACATTAAAAAAACTATAAAAAGAGACTATTTTAAAATATTGCAAGAGCGAATTTATAAACTCATTTAGTACATTTATGGGGTACTAAACAAACTTCTATTAACTACATGTAACAAAATATGCGACATCTACATAAGCAAGTGTTAATAAATTGCTACGGTGAAAATGATTGACTATTGTATTGATGACCAACTAAAAGAATTGGTCAAAACCTTTTCATCATCCACTTCCTCTTCGTTTCATTTTTCACTCGCCTTCCACAACCCGTTCTTTATCTTTTTTTGCCTTCTTCGTCTAACCCTAATTAGTATACTATTTTTATGTATTCCAATCGCAAGTATGTAACGGGTCCATACACGATTGACCAACAATCTAGAGAATTAATAATAGAACAATGAACCACTAACTTTTTTAGCTCAATGTCGAGTCCAATTAAAAATGAATATATATTGTTATTACTTATTAAAAATTCATCATTTTCCAGTATGAGATTTGAAGGCATGAAATTTTAAGCGAGTTCCAATTTGTATTCCTTTTGCTTCTCTCAAGATGTTTTCTTTTTCACCCAGATAGAATTTTCTACAATTAGACATGGAATTTCAACAATTATACATATCAAATAAATATTTTTCTATTTTTTTATATAAAAGTAAATAATTATCATCTTAAATACATTACCATAAAAGGAATTAAGCCTCAACTATGCAAATTACAGTTGGATACCTAAACATAGATCCTTAGATTTATAACCTAAAATTAATTTTTTGGCATATAAGTCCTCAAAACACTTATGGAACATTACATTGTAGTATCTAAAATTTTGTGTATTACATCTTAGTACCTAAACTTGTGACGTTCGACAAATAGGTCTAATTTTTGTATGTGTAATTAAAACACCCTCGAATAAATGAATATCCATACCAACTCATACACATTTAGATTATGAAAGTAAATATTCATACCCTACCCAAACCCATCTACAAACTTTCAAACCCATATATATATAATTTATTAGCCAAAAATTTTAAATTGGATATTGACCTACATATATCTATCTTTAGTCAATATCACATTGTCAAGTCAATATTACTAAAAAAACTGCTAACAACAAATTAATTTTAAGCTAATACTACTAACAAAACACCATAACGGGCCACATAATACATTCATATAGGCCATCTCCACCCGCGACAAATCGCGACATCGCCACCTAGTAAAATATATACTTCGACATAATTTTTCTTCATCAACCACCACACAAGTGTATATCATTTCGGTTTGAGTCTTGTACTATGGGTTTACTTGTTAAGACCCATACATAAAAATTCAAAAGTATTTTCTCTATCTTTTGTCATGGTTCTCTTTGTCTTCATTCATTGATCTTTCTTCCATTCACCAATTAAGGTTACAACCAATCCATGGTAACATATTCATTTAGGTTAGCTTCCCTTACACATGTGTTGAGATCTCTAATTCCCAACATAAAATTTAAGGACTTCCACATAGATCCTCTCCTTTCCTATAAATCATAATATTTCTTCACACCTCCTATCTTCCTATAATCACAAAATTTAACTAACTATTCACAAGAATTTCCTAACAAGATTACCTCTTTAGCTTATCATATTTTTCTTCTTCTTCTTCATTTCAGGCTTGAGCTCTAAGATTGGGCCAAATAGAACACGCGGAAAATCTTCGGTCTCTTTCTTGATAACTCTTGGTCACCCATCCTAACACAAAGATGGTCATAAATATGGAAACACAAAGCATTGCTATCCACAAGATCAACATCGACATCTTGAATGGCCCACATTGATCATCCACAACGTCAGCCAATGTGCCCTTCACTAGCATGCATTTTGTCAGGCTCTCCAGTTCTGGGAATACATCTATTGCAACTTCAGCTGAACGACTGTAAGCAATCGCCATCATGGAGACACTCTTTGGAATGACTTTACCATTCATTCCACAAGTCTCCAAATTAGATCCCTCTGGACAAGTGAGGCTCAAGAGCATCTGCAATATAATTGTCAAATATGAAATTGATTATTTATTATAATCTTAAAAAAAAAACCCTTTTGATTAATAATTACTAAATTTATAGAGAAATTTTAATTTCACTTACATTTGTCATTTCACCAACTGAGATGAAATCTGTAGGGCATGACCCAGGCACGAAGATTTGGCCCGATGATCCCGAGAAAGGGTCGCACACTCCTTTAATATCCATGTTGCTGGCTTCTTGTACAAACATCAAGTCGCTAGAACTAATCTTTGAGTTTAACTACAGTTGAAACAAATTTGTAGGGATATGAATGAAATAAAACCGATGTAACGTCGCAATAATTAGTTATGAATACTTAATTATAGATGAGGTGAGTACAAACATACATCAGAAATGAAACTGTGGATGGTGCCACCGACTTCTGCCAAGAGTTCATTGGCTTCTGGAGTGTCCATGCATGGTATTATGGAGCTCAAGGAATTGTTATGTGGATTCTCCACAAAACTATGAAATGCCTTACAAGTATCTTCAGCAAATCTATTTGGATAAAAGTACAAATGGTGTCTTTAATTTACTACATTCGACGAAATTTTGAAGGAGAGAATAACTGATTAAAATAGGTTCAGTGTAACGAAAGTATGGAGAATTGGTAAGTGTTTTACTCACGTGTGGAGAAAAAAGTCGACGCCTGTCAAAATCCAGTACATTGTTGTTAGGATCCAACATGTCAAAATTGTTCTGAAAACAAAAAAACACCAAGTCCCAAATCATAATTTAATTATTGTAAAGAGCTAACATATTTGCTAATTTTGTGAGCTACAACACAGAATAATCATTAATTTTGTAGAAAATCATGTATGTTTATAAATGACATCAATTTATTTTCATAAGAATTAAAAATTATTGAAGGGGATATAATGACTTACAATATAAATCCAGGGTGCCAATGCAAGAAGAGTACAGCTGAACCAAAGAAGCAAATTCCAATTAGTCTAACAATTAACCAGATTTTCTTAGAACCATCAACTCATAAAAATATTGAAAATAATCAACTAGTAAGCATTTTAGAGGACATACGTATTGAAGCCACCAAGAAGGCCAAGTTGACAATGACTACAACAAAATGTACCATGTGCCTGCCAATAAAATTTTTCATCAAAAAAAAAAAAACACTCAACCCATGTATAAAATCAAAGAGGTAACAATTATAATCCAAAAGAATTAGAATACCCTCCAAAGAAGTGGAAGTGAAGAGCTCAGCATAATTAAGGAAATAAAGGTTGAAGATTGCCAATTGTATGTAGTATACTCACGAAGTCTCAATTGCAATATCCATGGAGTGGCTACTCTTAGCTACATATTCTTTGATGGTGTTCGAGTCATCGGCAAGCAAATGGGTTATGTTGTACAACCTCAGAGAAGTGTCCGGCTGATAAGGGCGGAGAAGACTTTGAATCGTAGACATTGCCAAAACCACCGATTGAATCGTGCGATGAGTCTCTTTCGCCACCTTCACTATGGTTCCCTTCAGCTCTTCTGTTTTATGCAGCGAGCTTTGGTTTGCTATTGCGACAATTATGGTTGCTGCCCTGAATTTTTTTGTGGAGAGGTTAATGAAGGAATTATAGCTTTGTTGATCGTGAAAGGGAAGTGTAAGAGAACTCACAAAGCAAGGACGGTAAAGATGAGGAGGAGGAAGAACATAGGGAGGTGGTAGTAGTCCAAAAAGTCTCGGATTGCTGCCAACTGTGCACCTCCATTCTTCAAAGCCCAAACGATTCCTAATCCTACTCCACATATCACCCACGCTACAGCAATTGCGTATCCGTGTACTCCTGTATACATTGCGGACTAAAACAAATGATTAAGTTACACACTAATAAATTGGGACCTCCTACTACCATGCTTTGAAGACTGAAGTTACTATAACTTGAACTTTCTGACCTGCTATATAGTAGGTTTTACAGGTCGCATTACGTAAATCTAATGTTTATTACGTAACAGTTACACTAGAAGCGTTCCGCAACGACTTGTCATTTTACGTAACGCTATGTTAATATTCATTGCGTAAAAAGCATCATCTGTTACATAAGACTTCCGTAATGATATTTTACAACTGTTGCATAAAATACACACTCATTACGTAAAGGTTACGTAACGAAGGTTATTTCTTACGTAGCAGTTAAATTTGAAGTGTTTAGGTAAGACTTCCGTAATGACTTACCACGTTACGTAACTTGATTAATATTTCTTTAATCATTACGTAAAAGGACCATCCATTACGTAAGGCTTTCGTAATGACACTTTACAACTGCTATGTAAAATATGCATCTATTACGTAAAGGTTACGGAACGATAGTTATTTCTTACGTAACAATTAAATTAGAAGCGTTACGTAAGTCTTTCGTAATTATTTAATAGATTACGTAACGAAAGGTTAATACTCATTACGTAAAATGAGTGTCTAGTACCTAAGATTTCCGTAATGATATTTTTCAACTATTACGTAAGATAAACACACATTACGTAATGCCTATTATATTTTACGTGATGCGACTTGTGAAATCTGTTATAGCAGGTCAAAAACATCAAGTTACAGTAACTTCAAGGTATTGTATGAATTTCCTAAATTTCCTCACCCACAATTAGACTCTAAAAAACCTTAACTTCGATATGCAGAACTAACATAATTATTCCTTTTAAGCTACTGGTCTGCCACTCTGCCTATCAAATGCATAACCTAAATTAAACATGGTAATTCGTATACATATCTTTGTTAAAATTGAAACTAACAGGATGATAATAATTGACTAAAATTTCAATCGGTAGTGTATGTTCATGCTTGCTGTCACAAAGATCCATCATTCCACATGAAGAAGAATTCAAACATTTGTGTTGTGCAATAAATTTCTACTGTCGCTCATATTTTGGTTATTAAAAGGAAGAGGAAAACACAAATATAGGATCAAAATTTGGGGTCATAAAGATGATAAATAGAAAAGAAAAAGGAAAAATGCGACTTATGGACAAAAGGAAACTCACAGCCCAATAATGTTTGTCAGTGACATTGTATGTTCCGACGTAGTCCTTGAAGCCATGCAGAGGATCCGGTCGCCGATATCTATCTTCTCCGAGAGAGAATCCAGAAACCGTCGATGAGAAAATCAACGTGAAAACAAGAAGAAATGGAATCAGAGGCATGGTAGGGGAGGATGGAATGAATTTGAAGGACATCATCATTCGATATTGTTTAGCTATGATTTACTTCTTTCGTTTTGGAAAAATCTAGTTTACCAAGAAAAGGGTGTCGAGAGATGGAGAACTGCATTTTGCAAGTGTCATAAAAAGGGACGAATTAAGTACAAAGCCTGATAGAAGGAAAAAAAGGTTCCTCACTATGACGTAATTCTTAAGGTAAGAATTGCTTGTTGCTATAGCTAATCTATTTCAGAATTTTGTTGTGTGCTAGGTAGGAAAACGGTTTAACAAAGTGAAAATTTTGAAAGAAAGAATAGAGAGAAAAATATGGAATGAAATTTATCAGGAAACAAAATATTGTTAAAACGAACTAGAAGCCGAACTTTATGTTTGTCCGCATTGCATGGATTGACCGCTTAAATTTTTAGCTTAGTATTACAAGTGCAATTACCCAAAAGGAAATTAAAATAAAAAAAATTATTACAAATAAATGAAATAGCCTCCAAAATGTATACTTTCCTTGAATGAATTTATTTTATTAGGGTTTGAGCTTTAGTTTTCACAAATATAAATTCTAATTGCAACTTTCAAACAATTATGTTTTGGACAGAATAGTTGATTATTTGTTATTAAACTACTTATATTTTTTATGCAAAATTAAAAATTGCATTAAGTATCGACACTCATCAGAAAATCCCAATGCGCCTCTCAACCATGTACACAAACGTCTGCTATGGAATACAATTTATCCATTAATATAATCTAACCAACTATCTAGGTATATTGGAAGGGCAGGATCTCCATTTGCTCGATAGAGGACATCTTCATGTATGACTTTTCACTAACTCTTTCGAATTTCTAATTGACTTTGATCCATACATCCGAGAACACGTCTCCCGCCAAACATGGCTAAGAGCAGAACTCCAAATCAATCTACATATTTTATGGCAGAGAGAGCATATGAAGAAATACTCAGTTACCAAGGCCTGGAATTCCATTCGACGGCATGTACAAGAGGTCACTTGGTGGAAGTTTGTATGAGCTAAGGAAGTTATACCTAAGCATGACATGGTCCTCTGGTTAGCACTGCATAAAATACTGATTACACAAGATAAGTTGTTGTCATGTGCAAAATCAGTGTTAGGATTTTGCTTATTGTGTTCCGGAGTAGTAAAAAGCAGGGAGCATTTACTTGTGCAATGTTCTTGCACTGTGTATGTTTTGCACAAGAATTTAAAAAGTCACTCCTTACCTGTTACTGGGTATTGGGAAGGAATTGTGTCATGGTGTGTGACGAAGTGAAACTAGAAGACTATTAAACTACTTATAAAATAAGGACTGATGTAAAATAATTTAAAATTTTAAAATAATAAAATGTATATTGTTGGATTTTTTATATTAAGCTAAATTATTTCCCCTTTCTTAAATCATTGAGTTATTATTGGTTTCGATACAAATGGGACTAAATACTAACAAAACTCTTCAGGATTCACCCATCAAATGGTGGTAGATAAATGTATTATTATTATTATTATTATTATTTTCTGTAGTTATTTTCTCATAGTGTATTGTAGGGATGGCAATGGGTCGGGTTGGGGCGGGTTTTGTCAAACCCAAACCCAAACCCATGGGTTTATCCGCCAAAAAAAACCCGGGGTAAAACCAGCTGGGTTTGAAAAACTCAAACACAACCCAACCCGCTGGGTATCCGCGGGTTCATGGGTACCCGTGGGTTTTTGTGGTAAAAAATTTACAATAACAAGTTTCTTTCAAAATAAAAGTTTAACGTCAATTTTCTCATACAAATTATTCATACAAAAAACACCAATCTAGAGCATACAAGCAAACCGCAAATGATCAATACAAATTGTTCAAAATTAAAGATAAACATCTATAAACAATAAGATTAATTGAAAGCTTCTTTCTCGTCAACTAAGTTTCTTCACTCTCCACTTCATAATATCAACTTCATTCTAAACATTTAGAAAGAACAAATTATACATGTCTCTACAAACATAAATGTCTCCACAAACATAAAGAATATTAGTTGTTTAAGGATGATATATTATTTAGAATAATAAATATACCGGGAAAGTAATTATATGTGTGTGGGCGGGTACCCATGGGGCGGGTTTACCTAAACCCAAACCCAACCCGACCCGATGAATAGTGTAGCGGGTTTAAACCCAAACCCGGCCCAAAACCCGTCAACATGGGTTTTACCCGCGTTGACCGGGTTGGGTTGGGTGGGTACCCGTGGGTTCGGATTTTGTTGCCATCCCTAGTGTATTGCATGATTTTACAATGAGAAGTGTTATATGGATAATTTCATTACTATATTTGCATAATTATAAACTTATTTGTGATTTATTTGTGTATAATTTATTTTTTGTTAACTTGATTTTGGTTCTGTGTTAAAAACCCTCTAGAGCTTCAATTATTTAGAGGTACTAATTCATCATAATTAGCATAATGAGATACTAATTAAGAAAAAAATGAACACTTTTGCCTCTAAATATTTAATTATGTCGCCCTAAATTTAAAAATGACACATTTGCCTCTAGGCCCAATTTCTAACCTAAGCCCCTAATGAACAACTGAATACCGTCACCCCAATTTACATGTTGCGGTGAATTCTGCTAACCGCGGCCGCTGCTACTCTGATCATCATCGTCATCACCAAGCTTCGGTCGTCGCCGTCGGGAGAATGAACCGGGAGCCTACCTTTGCCATCGTCCACTAGAATTTTTTTCCTTAGCCGAGAAAATAATATCGGGAAGCTTACCTGATTTGTTGAGAAACCGGGCAGCAACCACAAGAAATAATAGAATGCACAAGACACACAATTTTTATGTGGAAAACCCAAATTGGGAAAAACCATGCTCCGAGACACTATGTCCATCCTTGTACTTCAAGTTCACAATTCTTCGAATGAGTGAGGCTTTATTTTGAGTTGATTGCCTCTCATACATGGACTCCAATTTCTGCCACAATTCATCTTCTCTTGTATCTTTTGCAACATGATGAAAGATGCTTCGGTCAATCCATTGTAGAATGATTGCCACCACATTTCTATGTAAGACCTCCCATTGCTTATCGGTCTTGTCTTCCGGCTTCTCGCTGCCATTTTCAGTTGGCTCATAGAGATCCTTGCAAAACAGAATATCCTCCATCCATGGCTTCCAAATAGAGTAGTTGGATGATGTCAACTTAATCATTGCTCCACTTGAGTCATCCATTCTTGCCATTCACCAAACACAACCCCCAAACAACCTAATGCTCTGATACCACTATTGAGAAATCGGGCAGCAACCACAAGCAATAATAGAATGCACAAGACACACGATTTTTACGTGGAAAACCCAAATCGGGAAAAACCACGAGACCTTTGTCCAAGCCACAACTCCACTAGACTTTGGTGGGATTACAAGTCCTCTCTAGACTAGCTAGAGGATTACAAACACCTCAAGAACAACCTTCTTAGATCAATAATTAACCAAAATAGCTCTCACCAACATGGTGGATAACTAGAAGTCTAGAACAAGAGTAAGGCAAAGAGAGGTTTAGAGATACCAAAAGACAGATTCGTACACCTTCTGTCCAGCAGATATTCCCGACGAACTAGAGCTCGAAACAACGATCCCTCCGGTAATATTGAAGCCCAAATAATTGAGAACCCACTGTCCAAATTTCAGGACGATCCAACGTTTTAATATTTCAGAATGCTCACTTGAACAGGCTTCCCTGTTGCAGAAACGAAAAACTGCACCTCTTTCTCTCCTCTCTTTTTCCTTATCTCTTCTCTTTTCTGATTCTCTCTCTAAAAAATGAAAGGCTGTCAACTCTTTTCACTTTTTTATTAGACAATAACTCTCTATTTTCACTTTTTCCTTATCTCTTCTCTTTTCTGATTCTCTCTCTAAAAATGAAAGGCTGTCAACTCTTTTCACTTTTTTATTAGACAATAACTCTCTATTTTGAAAATATAGGATCTTCTAGAAACCAACCAAAACTCAAACTCAAACCGGCTAATCCAACCACCATATGAGTTGGACCAACCCAACAAATCTCCCCCTCCAGCTCATATGGGGGGTAGCACCAAACCTTATTCATCTCGACAAAAGATATGTTTTCCACTTGGTAGAGACTTAGTCATTATGTCCGAACAATTGTCATCCGTATGCACTTTGTTGAGCTCAAACAACTTCTCTTCCAAAACATCACGAATCCAATGATATCGAACATCTATGTATTTCGACCTTGAGTGGAAAGTTGGATTCTTACAAAGATGAATTGCACTTTGACTATCAAAATAGAGCACATACATCTCTTGCTTGATGCCCAACTCTTGAAGAAACTTCTTCAACCATAACATCTCTTTGCAAGCTTCTGTCACGGCTATGTACTCGGCTTCTGTTGTTGATAAGGCAACACATTTTTGGAGTTTAGATTGCCATGAAATTGCAGCACCTGCAAAAGTCATCATGTATCCAGAAGTCGACTTTCTAGAGTCCACATCACCTGCCATATTAGCATCGGTATATCCATCAAGTATGGTCTTGCCATTACCAAAGCATAGACACACTCTAGAAGTAACTCTCAAGTAGCGAAGAATCCACTTCACTGCTGTCCAATGTTCTTTCCCCAGATTGGAAAAAAACCGACTAACAATCCCAACGGCATGAGCAATATCCGGCCTTGTGCAAACCATGGCATACATCAAGCTTCCAACAATTGATGCATAAGGCACATTATTCCTTGCTTCTTTCTCTTCATCACTTGTAGGACAATGCTTCACACTCAACTTGAAATGTCCTTCAAGTGGAGTACTAACCGCCTTAGCCTTGGTCATGTTAAACCGCTCAAGAACTCTTTGAATATACCTTTCTTGAGACAACCAAAATTTTCCATTCCTTCGATCCCTAGAGATTCTCATCCCTAGAATTTGTTTCGCCGGTCCTAAGTCCTTCATGGCAAAGGATTTACTCAACTCCTTTTTCAATCTATCAATCTCTCCAACATTCCGACCCACGATCAACATGTCATCCACGTAAAGCAAGAGAATGATGAAATCATTTTCAGCAAAGTATT